TTTAAAAAAAAAGAACTATATAAAAATACTCATTGCTTAGTGCTAATTAAATACTATGATGGTAGGTTGGTTTCTTTTTTTTTTTTTAAATAATGGGACAAGAAAAGATGACCAAACAAATATTAACTAAGTTGGTCCAAATTCGCTGTCGCATCAAAGGCCCACTAGCCTCGCTCGTAAAAGGGAAGAGAACTTTGATTATATACATTTTGCTTTTTGTTGTAGAGCCACGCCACTAATAATCGAACAAATTCTTTGCCATATGAAGATCCATGATGTTACGCAAGTTGCCTTCGGACTGGGTTTAGATCGGTGCAGCCACAAATTGCCTTTCGTCTCGGATTGGGTTTAGATCGGTGCAGCTACAAATTGCCCTTTAACTATATAGTAAGGAAAGGTGGTTTGGGCCCTACTATTGCTATCGCGGGGCCCTAACTACAGTCTTGGATTACATATCGGTTTGCAACCTTCTCTTCATCCGCTAACAACTACTACTATAGGAAAGGTAAACCCCTTACTGCATTCGTCATCGGATTCCTCATGCCGGGATTGGTCTTGGCTTTCAGCCGCTTAGCTACACTTGCAACTGCGTTCGGTGCCCCACTGCGGACGCAGAAGAGCTCCGGTGACTTGCAAAACACGTTAGCAAGGAGTCTCGGCGAAAACCTCCGACACTCAAGTTATGTTAGGTCTCACTCGTGAATATGCTAACCTTGTATAATAATGGCGTAATATGAGTTAACTTTCAATAGAACTTAATAATATCCTTTTATACATAGATTATCTTTATGTTCAAGTGTCTCCTTATTAGAAAAGGGATTCTACTGTATCTCATTCCTTAGTAAAAATACGTCTCTGAGATCTTGGACTCTCTAGCGAGATGAACATCCTTACTAGGATTTTGTTTCCTCTCTCGATACGACTCTTAGGTCCTTAGGTCATCACAACGACAAGTCGAAACTACAACATCCACCTGTACGACCTCAAGGTGATATCGATCCCTCATCTATCCAAGCTCCTAGAGGAGCTCGGCCCTTTTATTCTTCATTCGGCTCGACTTGTATCCCGAGTTACTCCATTGAGCTCCTTGACGAGATCGAGCACTAACACTAAGTTGAGTCCTTCTCGAACCGACCACAATTGAACTAACCTCTTCAGCCGGTTCACCAAGCCACCATGAGTGCTATATTCGATGTAACACCACCAATAGGTTGACGGTTGAGTCGACTTATGTGGATCAAAGTATGAGCAGGTGGTCAAGCTACATCATGAGGTAGTCTTGATCGCATTAGACTTTGTCGGGTGGTATGTAGCTCGATTTAAGCTTCTTAAAATGGCATGATCACAACCGAGTTATTATGACCATTGACTGTCTAATCAACTATGTAGAGAAACCTTGCACGAGATATGAATGTTGCAAGTTGCAAGAAAGAAGGTTTCTCATTATAAGGAAGCATG